CTTTAAAAGCGACCAACGTGGACGAGTTTGTCCGCAGAACACTCCACAGCGCTGAACTGTATGGAGACGATCTCAGTAATTTCCTGCCCAACTATAGACTGCATACAAGATGGATACCGGGGAGAGCCAACCCGGGGTTGCTGTACGTCAAACCCGCCGGCGCCGACGGAGAAGAATGGACCGTCGAAAAATTTCAGGGCAAGGGACTGGCCAGCTTCAAGGGACCCATAATGAAGGGGAGTCCGGAAGTCTTGATGAAACTGCCAGTGTATCTCGACGCCAGCGACAACCCAATACCTATTTTGTGCAAGCTCCAGATCACTTACTGGGTGAAGATAGAGACCATGGCTCACGGTCAGGACATCAACGATTGGATGGCTCCTCACTTTGGGGTGAGCAGGAACACCGAGGACAGTCAGGGGCAACAAACGATGACGGGTACTATTCCGACCGCGGAGCAGCAGCTAGCCGGATCGGTGAACATGGTTCGGGGAGGAGAACTCAACAAGAACAGCCTCGACGACCTGGTAGATTCAAAAGTTTTTTAGGAGATTACTTTACCCGGAATGCAATACGAAAAAGGTCAATAACCGAGAGAAGATCTACTAAATTATTATATAGATTCAAGAGTTTTTTAGGAGATTACTCTACCCAGAATGCACTGCGATAGAAGTCAATGACCTAGAATAAATCTACAAAATTATTGTAAATATACAAGGAGTTTTACTTTACTTTACCCAGAATGCAATTGTAACCAAAAGTAATAAAAGCATATACCTATGCAAGAATATATAGCTATGATTATCCGTCTTACGGTCCGTTTAGACGTCCTGTAGATTTTATGATGTCAGACTCGCAGTTGCCATGGCAACGCGTCTGAGCATGCGCCATTGTGACGACACAATCACTCTGTGACGTCATCAACACGATCAGCCAACTTGTGGTCTAGTTTCCTGACTCTTCTTCTTTTCTCTCAATACAACTGCGGTTAAAAAATAGAACTGTTACACAGAAGCACCGAATCGGTAGAGAGCAGTTCCCTTCCAGATACTATTCCGGTAGGGGATATCAGCCCGCCTACAACACCTGTACTGGTAGAAGAAACATTTGATCCACCCACTCCCCACTACTCACCGGCAGAAATCATAGCGACGTACACCCTATGATTTCTGCCGGTACCGGAAGCCAAGCCTTAAGCGCAACCAATACCAGGACACTTTAAAAATTAAAATAAAATAAAACAAAATTGACTTCTTGGTCAGTTGCATGGTTGCTCAGAAGAGCTCTTGACTTCTAAAAACCCAGGGTTTGAGTCTACATGTACATGCAGTTATATGGGAGGGGGTAGTCTCCAAGAGGATGTTCGAGATTTACCTTCTAACTTAAGCTTTTAAGTGTCCGCTGAACTGATCAAGCTTACGATCATAATGATAAATGCCCCTGGCCCTCGTAGGAAAACAATACGCTGCCCCTCCGTTACTTGTTAAATGCCGATTATGGCACAATTGTGGGTGGCCCTTTAAAAAGGACCCGACCCAACGTATAATCCAAGGGGATACGAACATACCGGTGGAAGGTTTAGTTTAGCGAAATCCATTCCACCCAGTTTTTGTCTTAACGAAAACGGATGGTTGGTATTTGCCAAGTTCGGCATAACCGTACAGGGAATCGCACGTGCAATTTTTCGTTCACTTCAGTATTTCACGCAAGACGAAGACAATTTGAGTCATCACCACAACCATGAGTCCCCTTTTTGCTTACTCCAAGAAACGTGTTAGGCATCTTGAACATGGAAAGAGATTGTAGCCAGAAAAAATCGAGTTCTCTTCACCAAAGAAAGCTGTGGAGCGGAGTTCCCGCCTTGCAATTTACTTCGGACGCCTATATCACAGAACATAACCCTCAGTTGTCCTGTGGGTCATTGCATATAACAACAGAGTATACCGGTATCATTAAGTCAGTATTATCCCACAGTATTTAAAATGTTATGTGATTTTGGGCTTCACGGCTCCAATCTAGCGGAATCTCGTCCCATCTCATCTCTCCTCCCAACTGAATTTCCATATCAATTAGCAAGATTATATCTTTGACGGTTGATGCCAAAATTTTGAAGGAAATACTTTGGCACTCGAAACTTTTTCTTACTAGAATTGTCGACGCGCACCCTTCCTTGCCTAATAAGCCCTTGCTCTCTTCTACATGCTACAGATATGGATCAAATAGAATTTACTTCAATGCACCGCCTTCAGCTGATAATGGTAACGAAACCTGCCAATATTTACAAATTAGTGGAAAAACCACAACTTCTCCGGCAGCAGCGAGCTGTGTCCGATTTTTTTTCTAAATTTAATTCCCCAGAAGGCTGAATATTTTTATGGCATTACCGCATTACTGTAACTCTCTAACCATTAAATATTTAAACTAGTGACTGATGCACAGCTCGAGTAGTTTTGGACCTATTTATTAGTCTATTATTGGGGGTACCTCAACTAGGTCCATTGACACCTTGTTGGAGATCCTTACCATTATCCCCAAGGTGTCAACTATCATCAGGTGATTAGAAGAGGTACTCTTGCCAATAGAGAAGGCTAACTGCCTTCGGAAATTCGAAGTGGGTGTCAACTGTGTCAATAAACCACATGATCGAGTCGGGGCACTTGAAACCGAGATAACGCATTCAACTCGAGCGACGGAACTGCATCATACGGATGACAGAAATTATAATGATAAATAGACTAACAAAAAGGTCTTTTCTGCTAATAGAAATGGGTAAGTACCATTTCATCGGGTTACGTTATCCATCTTTTGCTGGCAATGGCCATGAGGACAAAAACTGTAAACTTTAAAAAATAAACAACAAATTATTTGCATCTGACTTGACGTGTCATACAGTCTTGATTTTCCTTAAACAGTTAAAAACTGTTACGCGACGCGGTCACACGATTAACACGCATCGGTAGGCAATACGGGCGTAGGCAATACAGTCTTTTCAAATTCCATACGCTGTAATAATTAACTGACGTAAAAGCACATAATTAAACATGGTAACTCTGGCCTGGAGATTTTACAGAATTGTTTACTCAATTAGCGTTATGTAGAAAGTCTGTGTAGGACTGATGAAAATTAAACGGGAGTGCAAATAATCAATTATGGGCAATACATGTAAGTAACTTTTAAAATATAAGTAAAGAAAACGTGAAGGAAAACCCTGAACAGTGAACAGGTTAATATCAATGTGTACCCCAGGAAATGGCAATTTATGAAAACTGTGAGCAACAAGTAACAGGATAAGAAAAAAAGAAAACTAGAGAGAAGTGTTTGTAAACAAGTACAAACACAGCTGTTTCGGAACTGTTTTATCAACAAAATAAGTATTGTTGATCAAAGCTCTCAAACTAACCCAAATGCTGGCTTGAAAATGTGTACAAAGTCAAGGGGCTGAAATATATATTGAAAAAACCAGAGTAAATCACATGATGACGTCATCATGACGTCATTTATTTAGAATAAATTCTGTATCAAGGTCTTTGTTGGCTGTCACTTTGAAAACGATCAAACATTCGAAAGGGTTAAAAATTGTGCCTTGAAAAC